GGGGGGGCTCTCCGGCGGCTGCCCGCCGTGGGGCGCGGGTGCGTGGACCGTCCTGCATCCTCCTGGGCTGGTTTTAATGGGGAACCACTGAGCTTCCAGTGAAATGTCAGCAATCCCTTGCTGAGAGCCTCCAGCTGGCTCTAAACGAGATGTTAAAATTTGGGTGCACGCTGGAGGGGAGGTTTTCCCAGGGGTGACAGTCCCTGGGGACCCCCAAACTGCTCTGCCACCCCCGCGGGGGTCCCTGCTCTCTGTGGAGCTGAGCACGGCCGGTGCGCGTGGGGTCACGGCTGTCACGGCAGGGTGGGAGGGAGGAGGGCGAGGGCTTTTTGGGACACTCATCCCCAGGAGCACTGGGGATGTGGCCGCTGCTTTTCGCTTGGGCTCAGTGCCCTGGAAAGCGGCTTCTTACCGTGCGGGGCTCGAGGCGGCACCGAGCCGGGGGGGCTCTCAAAGCAGGGGAGGAAGGGCAGCAATTAAAACGCCTTCCCCGCGCGGGGCTTGGGATCACGGGAGGAAAGTACATTAACAGCCAGGGGGAATAGAAAAATAGCAGGGCACAACCTCAGCCGGTGTAAATCTGCAGACCTCTTTATGGCTTTGTTCTCCCTTAAAGGATTCTTGCTGATTTACGCCAGCTGGAAAAACAAGGCTGTAGCATCCCTGCGCGCTGCGAGGGGTGCAGGACTGGCTCTCTGCTGTTGCTCTGCGGTGATGCCCGTGCGTACAGCATTGGATCTGTCCCTGACAGAGCGAATGCCGGCAGTGCCGATGCGTTTTCGGGAGCGGTGCTGTTAGGACAGCGGGTAGGAAGCCGTGAGTGCGGCTGCTGCATTCCCATTGCCTGTGCTGCGGGGCGGGAGGAGGAGGAGGAGCAGCAGCTTTGCTTCAGCATCCCAGGGTGAACCTGTCTAAGGACAAATGAGAGCTACAAATCAGACCCAGTGCTGAGGGCCCCGAATTCGAGGCTGTTGGGAAGCTGGGACGAGCCCATAAATCTCCCTCCGGAGCGTTTTGCCTTTGGAAAAACGCTGACGTGGTGGAATGGAAATGCACCCCCAGAATACGCTCGCCCCCAGTAAATGGCGCACTGGAAACACGACGTCCTGACCCCGTCTCCCCCGCCGGGGTTGCCCGGCTCCCTGGGGCTGCCCTACATTTTGGACACATTTGCTGTTCAGTCTTAAAAATTGTGGAATAACCCCTTGGGTGCTACGGACACCCCACCGCTGGTGCGGGGACCGTGGTCACCCGGCAAGCTGGCGCTTGGGCTCTGCCATCGGGACGCTGGCTCCTGCCTGGCATTAAATAACCTACGGATGCAAAAGGAGGGGAGCCAGGTTTCTTTACGGTGCATTTAATTTTCCAGCAGCCGAGTTGCCCCGTAACCCCCCTTCCCTATGCCGGAGAAAAGCTGCTTATGCAATTTCTGCTGTTCTCTTTGTTTGCATGCTTGCCAGGAGGAACTACTATTCTTATTCCTATTACCCGTAAGTAATTGTCATTCTCTCTCTCCTTCGCTCTTCCTGCCGGCCGCCCCCTTGCCCTGCTGCTGCAACAAGTCCTTTTCTCTGCCGTGTCCATTTTAAGGGCGTCTTTGGCACAGGGAAAATAATGCCACCGCGCACGTTAGAGACCGAAGGCAGTGTAAAGGGGAAGGGTCAGCAACTTCAGGTTCAGTTCTGGATTTTGGCAGCGTCTTGCCATGTCCCGGCCCCACCAAGACGCTGATGTGGGCTCAGGTGTCTTTCCTGGGTTTAATCCCTGCTCTGGCTTCTTGGGAGCCTGATGCTGTCTCTCAAAAGCCCTCAGTTGTTTTCCTAAATGTCTCAAATTTGGGGTGTGAGGTTCTGTCCCAGTGAGAGCTTCTGGGCTTTCGCAGCACCTTCGTTAGGTGCCTAACGGGGACCTTGCACGGGGGGGAAGAGCCTCCCTGGTGGGTGCTGAGTATGTGTGCGGTCAGGGGGTCCAGCCTTTCCCTTGGGGGATGGATTTGGCCCCCCAGCATGGTTTTAGAATCACAGAATGCTTTGGGTTGGAAGGGACCTTTAGTGGTAATCCAGCCCAGCCCCTGCAGTGCCAGGGACAGCTTTAACCAGAGCAGGGTGCTCAGAGCCCCGTCCAACCTGGCCTGGGATGTTCCCTGGGACGGGGCATCTCCCACCTCTCTGGGCAACCTGTGCCAGTGCCTCACCACCCTCATCATAAAAAAATCTCTTCCTTATGTCCAGTCTGAATCCACCCTCTTTTAGTTTAAAACCATTACCCCTTGTCCTATCGCTACAGGCCCTGTTAAAGGTCTGTCCCCATCTTTCTTATGAGACCCTTTCAGTCCTGAAAGGCTGCACTAAGGTCTCCCCGCAGCCTTCTTTTCTCCAGGCTGAACACCCCCCACTCTCAGCCTGGCCTCACAGCAGAGGTGCTCCAGCCCTCGGATCATTTCTGTGGCCCTCCTCTAGACTTGCTCCAACAGGTCCATGGCTTTCTTCTACTTCTTGCACTTGTACTGTGCAGCGCAGCGATGCACGTAGCGTGCTGGGTGGTCCGTGCTGCAGTGAGGTGGTGTGGGGCGATGGGTGGGTAATGCCTGGAGAAACGGGGCTGGAGGAGAGCTGGGGCTGCCCTGTGCAACGCTAGCCGGCCAAGGAGAGCCTTTGCTTGCCCAAGGAGTGCTCCCACTGGGCCTTTTGGGGGGGGACACTGAGGATGAGCAGTGCTGCAGCTGGCGCGGGACGATCCACGTGGGGCTGTGACGGCTTGGGGCACTGGAAAACCGACGCGTGGCAACCGCTGGGGCAAATAACCCATCCTGCTCCCCGAAATCATCTGAGCCCCGTAGCTTTGGGGGGATCTTACAGCACCATTGGGTCAACCCTGCTTACGTGTGCTTCTTCCCCCTCCTCACCTTTGCATCCTCCTGCAGAAAACCCGTCAACATGACCAAAGCGACCATTAACTACCGCCACGAGAAGACGCACATGATGAGCGCCATTGACAGGAGCTTCACCGACCAGAGCACGCTGCAGGAGGACGAGCGCCTGGGGCTCTCCTTCATGGACACCCACAACTATGGCAACCGAGGTAAGGACAGGGAACCGCAGCATCCCTCCGCTCCCATCCAGCTGCAACAAGGGTCCCCAGTAATCCCGAAATATCCCAGGAACAGCTGAAATATTTGTCTAAGGCTCGGTAGCGGATATTGCATCTATTTTAGCCTGATGTGTGTGGCACGTTGCAGGCTTTCCCATGCCCTGCAAGGAAACCTCCAACGGCATCGATCTTATCGGTGTCTGTCGTAGCTTTTCTTATCATCCAGATTTGCTGTAGGAAAAACACTCGTGGGTGGCTCGAACTGGGTCTCTGCATGTCGATCTCTGGAAGGGGAGATCCGAGCTTGTGACTGGGAGGGTTGAGGCCATTTGTGGGCTCAAACGCTGGCTGCAGCCCCCTGAAGCTGGGTGAACCCCAACCCTTTGCCTTATGCTCAGGTTGAAAGCTTTGCACCAGCCTTCACCCGGCACACCCGGCGTGGCTTTGCTCCACGGTGTTCTGCGAGGCCCTGGGCTTTGGAGGGTTAAAGAGCCACCGCGTTTACATCAGAGGGAGACTGATAATTTAACACCCACTGGAGTATGCATCTCGGTGCTGATTTAGTTGTAAAATAACTCGTCGGATGCCCCAGTTTCAACCATATGCTAATAACATCTGTTACAGTACCTTCAAGATGCTGCTTACCCACAGCTCTTCTCCACCGGCTGCGGGATTAATATGCTTCCCAGCATTGTCTCGCAGATAATAGAAGCCCAGAGGGCAAACTTTTCCTTCTTTTAATACATCTAGCGAGGTGTATTAGTTTTTGGTTGCTGTCCTCAAAAAGCTCAAAGGCGGGTGGGTCTCTGAGCGGGCTGAGCCGGGGCTGCTGGTCCTCGGTTTCTTTAGGGAAGGGGGCTGTGGGGCTGGATCCTGCTCCCACCCGCTTGCTTGCTCTGTTGCTGGCCGCTCCTCATCCCTCTGCTTGGTAGAGGTGGAGATGTAGGAGCTTGGGCTCTCTGCCACAGCTGGGGCCAGCCTCTGCTGCGGCCACCCCCTGCCTATAAGCACTGTTAATTAACGAAGGTAAACGAGTGGGCTGCTCTGCTCCATGACTGGCTGGGGGCTGTTCCTCGCCATGCCTCAGTTTCCTTGCGTTTAAAGAAAAAGTCGCTAATACTTTTCACAGAAACCCGAGCGGGTCCTCAGCGCGTGGCTGTGCGGAGCTGTCAGCACCTTGCAAATGCCTGCAATTAATTTCTCACTAAACCCAGCGGCCGGTGCGCCCGTCAGCCGTGCCACGGGGCGCAGCGTGGCCCTCCCACGCTGTCCCGTTGGTTCAGCCACGCGTTGGCAGCCTGCAAGGGAGATGTTTCTGGTTGCAGAGGTTGGAGCATCGTCTGATGATGGGTGATGCCTGATGGAGACCCTGCTCCGTGCACGTGCTGCACCCACATTGCACGGGCAGCCGGGAGGTGTAGGCAGGGGGTGAGGGGCTCCCCCTTGCATTTGAGCAGACAGGAAAAGAAAAAAGTCTGGGAGCTTTGTGAACGAGCCGGCAAGGGCGGTTTTTAGAAGTGTTGTTAGGGGAAACCGCATCTAGGATGCACCATCTTGCAAAGCTGCTTCCCAGCAGCATGTGGACGGTGTTCCCGGCCGGGTGCTGCAGGATCCGTGCCTGCCGCTGCAGGATCCGTGCCTGCCGTGTCTCCTGGCAGCAGTGGAGAGCATCGGGTTTTGTGCAAACCCAGAGGTCTTAGTCTGGCTCTGCTGGTAATTACATGGCAAAGGCGTAAACCAGGTAAATACTGCATAAACTCCCCCATTAAACAGCAGCGAGCTCCATTTGTGTCAGTGCTAGGAATAAGGTGCCGGTATCTAGCAGTGAGGAAAATTAAATGTTAAGCTGGGTTGGAGACTTTGGCAACGTGATTTTTCACGTCAGGACTTTGTGTGAATATTTGGGCACGTAGCTTTTACTCGTGTAGATGGGAGTTAATAGCTCCAATCGGTAGGAAATAAGCTTATTAACCCCCTTAAGGTCTTGCCCGCTCATTTCTAAGAGACCTGCTGTGGTCCTAAAAGGCTGTAATGGGCGTTTTTGGCTTTGTGGTGTAGGAATGGCTGCAGAGAGCACAGGGAGGGTCTGTGTGGCCCCCGGGGAGAGACGGGCTGCAGCACCAGCATCTCCTGGGGATGTTGCTGGGTACCCTCTCGTTCCTCCTCTGTGGGTGCGAGGAGGCGATGGGCACGTGGTCCAAAGCTTTCCTCCCCTGACAGCCCCCGGTTCTCCCTCCCCTTCTGCAGGCGACCAGCGCAGCAGCGTAGTCAACGAGTCCAGCAGCTTGCTGGGGGGCTCCCCCCGCCGCCAGTGCGGCCGCAAAGGGTCCCCGTATCACACCGGGCAGCTCCATCCTGCCGTGCGGGTGGCGGATCTCCTCCAGCATATCAACCAGATGAAGACGGCAGAAGGCTACGGCTTCAAGCAGGAGTACGAGGTGAGAGCATCTTGGTGAGAGCATCTTGTGCTGGCGTCTCGGGGAGGGTGGGAGGTAGGATGGACAAGGTGGCACGGGCAGGACCTGTGTGCAAGGAGAAGATGCTCCAGACCTGGAGCTGCAGTGCTCTGGACAGCAGGAGCCGGAGCTCACAGGTCTCTGGAACACGTGGGGTGTCCCTGGGTCTGGATCAAATGTCTGGTCTTGGCAGCTCAGGATTTAATTGTCAGCTTGAACAGGTCCCTGAGATGAGCCAAACCAGCTCTGCCAGCCAGCCCGCGCCTCTCCTGCCTGCACTGCGTCATCCCGCCTCTCCTGCGAGGGCTGGCGATGCTTCTCCCTTTCTCCAGTCCTCCTGGGCACCACAGTGTCATGTTCTTCTGCTCTCCAGCACGCTTGTCCTGTGATAAGCATGGCCATAGCCTAAGGACAAGCAAATCCTCTACAGTCTGGCAGCTCCCGAGACCGTGAGGACCCCAGGGAGAGGACACGGGAGAGGGTGGTCGCAGCGGGAGGGAAGTCCCTCCCAAGGGTCGTTGGCCACATCGTGCCCATCGTGCCTCGTTGGGCCGGCGTGCTTGTAATGGACCACGGTATTCTGTGCGCCTCTGCCACAGCGTGCCCAGCGGGGTTGATTTCCCGACTCCTTGGTGTCCCACAGGTCTGGCGATTGAAATTTCCCAGTGAAATTACTGTTTAATGCTTAGTTGTTTCAAGTGCGGGAGCCTTTTTTCCCCCCCTTTCGCGTATTGGACAAACCAGGGCTTGCTATAATCATTAGTGCTCCTTGAAAAGCACTGCTGTATGTTCTTGGAACTAGTCATTTGAAAGCACTCAGATATTATGCGAGGGGAGAAAACATGTAATTTCCTTCCACTTCCCTCCTCTTACGCCAATCTATGAATGTTACTGTTATTACACACAAACCTATTCTGTGCTGGGGAGAGAAAGGGACTGGGGAGGTTTAGAAAAAAACCACAACCAACCCTGGAAAAAAACCAGGCAGTCTATAATTTGCTGGAAAATGGGGCATTTTGTGGATGCAACAGAAGCGTGTAGCTGGCAGAGCGTTGATACGGAGATGGAGCTGGGGCTGCGGGGCCTGGGTGCTTGGGTGGAGGGACCGCTCTGCCCAGCTCCCTGGGAAGGTTGTGGCGCTGGGGGGACCCCACAGTCCTGCCCTCGGGTCGTGACAGCCATCCCTCCCTTACAGAGTTTCTTTGAAGGCTGGGATGCTTCGAAGAAGAAGGACAAGACCAAAGGGAGGCAGGATCACGTGTCGACATGTGAGTGCCTTTAGCAAAGGCTTAGACAGCTTGAAAAGCCTTCTGAAGGGCTTCAGGGGCATTTTTGGTAAGAGTGTGGTCCATGGCAAGGAATAAACTGGTGGGGTTCGGTTGGTCAAGGGCAGCAGAAAGGTCCTTGCTCAGTGCAGGGTTCCCGCCTGAGAGCTCCTGTTGGGCATTGGGCACCAGAGCAAAGAGGAGAGCTGGAGCTGGGTAACTCTTGAGGATGGGCCATCTTGGTGATGATAACTTCACCATGATATTCTGGGTGGTGCTGGAAGGCCCCAGATAACCGGCGCTGTGTTTTCTTGTACAGACTTGTGAGAAACTGTAGCCCTGCCCTAGGGAGCTTCTGGTGTGGCCATGCAGGATGAGACAAAGCAGTTAAAGGATGAGATTTAGGACAGAAGATTGGGGAAGGGCTTGACCCCGTAGGAGAGAGGATGCTCCTCACCAGCTCCCTTCACAGTCAGCGTGGCATGGCTGCCTTGCTCCATGCTGCATCTCCGGTGACGTTCCTGCAGGGATGGAGACACCGAGCCTGGCCCTCCAGGAGCTCCAGTGCTCTCCGCTTCCCACATGCTTTTTCTCCGCAGCTTCATCCCTTCCACTCCAGCATCGCCTGGGGCCCCAGGTGGACACCGAAGGTTGGGCAGAGCTCTCTGCTCGCCTGTCTGGGCTCCGGCCATCGTGGTGCCCTGCTGGGGCGGATGGCAGGGTGCTGGAGGGTGGGTGCCCTATGCCTTTGGCAGGACTGGGCAGAGCTCAGGGATACACCGGGCTGGAAGCTGCTCCCCCGTGGCCCTGCTGGTCTAAGCCACCATCTTTGGAAAGACCTTCACCAGCTTGTACTTATTGCTCCTGAATACAACCCACCTGCCTGCGTTCTGCAGATTCCTGGTGTAAAACAAGTGCAAAGGGTGCCCTGGGCCCGGCGGGGTGAGGTGCCGTCCCCGTGCTCATCCCCCCGGGCGCTGACAGTCCCTTCTCCCCTTGCTCTCCAGATGACCGTCACCGAGTGAAGCTGCACCCGCTGCTGGGCGATCCCAACTCAGACTACATCAATGCCAACTACATCGACGTAAGTGGGGACGGTGCCTCTCTCTGGGGGGGGTTTGGCTGGGACAGGAGCTTCCTGTGGACCCTGTCAGAGCTGTCAGTCTGTCCGCAAAGAACCAGCAGCATTTGGAGGAGCTGAGGCAGCCCAGGACGGGCTGAACTGTGCGGCCCTGAGACGTGCCATGAAAAGCCCGCCTGGTTTATTTGTGTCCATCCGCAGTTTCTGCTTGCTGCGTCTCTCCCTTCTCTGCTCCGCTCTATCCCTCCTTTCTCCTCCCCTTTTCCGTTCTCTCCCCTCCCCTCACTTGCTCTCGTGGCCATGGATCTCCCTCTTCCCTGGGCGGTGGATGCAGCGGTTGCGTGGGCCGAGGGCCCAGCTGGGGGCTTACACCGGGATGCCCCCCGATCCTGTCGGTGCACGTGAGTCTGGGCAGAGCTCGGCCCTGGTGTCCCCGGAGAGTGACATTGCCCAAGAGTGATGTCCCTCGTCGCCCCCAGCGATGCAGCGATTAGGGAAGGTGCAGGAAGGCTCCATCAGACACGGGGCTCGAGCATCTCCTGGAAGCAGCAGCAGGTCCCACTCTTCCCTCCTTCCCAGAGGATGTCATCTGGCAATGGTGGCCTGATGCCACCGTGACAGGTTCCCCGTGCCCGAGCAGCATCCCCGTGCCTGTCCCCTGTCCCTGAGTGTCCTTTCTGCCCTGTGGCTCTCCGTGACCTGCTCCGGGGCTGGTGCTCTAACCTGTCTCTTGAGCCCTGCCTCACTAATGTCTCTGTCTCTGATCTTTTTCTCTCAAACCTGTGTCCCAACGGGATCGTTAAGATTCGGATTAACCGAGAAGTAAGTAGATGGTTCCCCCCTCCTTTCTTCTCTCTGCTCCCATCTCCTCCCAGGCGTCATACCGGGCAGCGTGGCATTAGATAGCATCTGGGAGAGGCAGGCTGGGAAAATGTGTGGATAAACTTGGGTACAGGCCAGGGAAGGGGAAAGTGAGGTCTCCGTGGCACGTCCTCCCCGGGGTGATGGAGAGCAGGGGCTGTGTGCTTGGAGGAGGGCTTGAATTCAACCCGCAGAAATCCCCCGTGAAAGGACCCGTGGTGGATGGAGAAGCTGCCGTTACCTCCGCGCATGTGATGCGGTTGAACTGTGCTGGACACATGGCCAAGGTGTGGGACACCGGGTCACCGGTCCCTTTGGCAGTGGCCTCGCTGGGATGTGCTCTTTGGGCTGGCACGTCCCCGTTAAGAGTTGGGAATGGTCCCAGTAAGTCGCTGGGATGAAGGAGGGGAGCGGGGCCGTTGCTTATTGCCATGTGGCTGCTGCAGGAGGGGGTGTCATTAACAGGACTCTCGTGACGGCGTTGCCGTGCTCGGCAGCAATGCCAGCAGCACAGGAGCCGGGGTCGAGCTGGCAGACCCTGGGTGCTGCTGGGGATTTTGGTGCAGAACAGGGGTGAGGGTTGGGCATTATGGGAGCCTTTTGTGGGATGTGGGACGTGCACCCTCCCAGGACAGGGGGTACTGGGTGCAGGGTGGCTGCTGAGCCTCCTCTTGCAGTGGTGGGTAGCACCGCACCGGTAGCCAGGACCTGGCCCGGCTGATGTGGGGAGTTGCCACCACTTGGGTGACTGGGAAATGTTTTATGGGGCTGTGCCCCAAATCTCGAGTGTCCTGGTGTTCCCCCACCTTGGGACTGATGTCTCTGCTTCCCTTGCAGGGCTACCACAGATCCAACCACTTCATAGCCACACAAGGTGAGCTGCCTCCTCCTCCTGCCCTCTTGGCCAGTGGCTCAGCAGCTCCTGATGTAGCAGCTGGGTTTTGTCCCTGGTGGGATTTAACCTTGCGTGGGCAAGAAGGGGAGGGAACGGGCTGATTCGGGGCCAGACGGGGCGGTAGCAATGCAGGGCAGCTCCCACCCCTCCTGCCGTCCCACGGCACCGTGTGTCCCTGGGGGAAAAAGAGTGCTTAAAATGCTGCGGGGCGTTCGTGCGCAGAGGCAGGAGGGGAAATGTGGTGGCATCGCGGCGCTGCCCGTCCATCCCCGGCGGCCTTTCCCCCGTCCCGCAGGGCCCAAGCAGGAGATGGTGTATGACTTCTGGCGCATGGTGTGGCAGGAGCACTGTTCCAGCATCGTGATGATAACCAAGCTGGTGGAGGTGGGCCGGGTAAGGACCCCATCCCATCCCTCTCCCTCTGGCCTCCGCCTCTGCCAGAAGCCTCCTCTGCAGAGCTGAAACTCCATCCCGTCCTCTCCTGGCAGGTGAAATGTTCCAAATACTGGCCGGATGACTCCGAGATGTACGGGGACATCAAGATCACCCTGGTGAAGTCGGAGACATTGGCCGAGTACGCTGTCCGCACCTTTGCTCTCGAGAGGGTACGGTACCGTTCCTGCCGGCCGCGACCTGCCCGACCCTGCCCTCTCAGGCAGAGAACGACCGCCTTGGGCATCTCTAACCATCACCAGATTGGCATTTACCAATACCCTGTTTATTTCCCCCAACGTGGGGCTTTCAGCCCTGATTGAGGTGCAGCCTCTGAGCCTGGGGTTGCCGCTAGCTTCTTCCTTTGCCTTTTCCCCAGCTCTGTGTCCTCTGCCGGTATGAGCGGCTCAGCCCCGCTTTGGCTTTGGCAGTGAGTGAGTATTTAATTTCCGTGTGAGCACCACGTAATTGCAGCGGGGGTGAAGGATGCTTTTTCTCCTCTGGGCTGGAGTGCAGGTTACGTGGCCATTACTCTCCAGAGCGGTACCTGGGGATGGAGCCGGTGCGATTTACCCCTTAATCTACAGGAATGTGAAATTACTGTCTAGTTATAGGGCAGGTAGCAAAGATGCTCGTGGAATTAGACCTGTAGCTGCTGCCGCCGCCTCTTCCTCCTCAGCTGGTGTTTAACCCTCTTGCAGCCAAGGAGGAGGGAGCTGCAGGGCTGTCAAAGCAGTGGACCGCTGCGTGGTCCATCTGGCTGGATGCTGAGCTGGCACAATCATGGTTTCCCAAGAAAATTAGGTGTTTGGGTGGCTTTGCCCTCCCCATGCACCCTCACTCCGTCTCACCCTTCCCTTGCAGCGGGGCTACTCGGCCCGGCACGAGGTGAAGCAGTTCCACTTCACGTCGTGGCCCGAGCACGGTGTCCCCTACCATGCCACGGGGCTGCTGGCCTTCATCCGCAGGGTGAAGGCGTCCACGCCGCCCGACGCCGGCCCCATCGTCATCCACTGCAGGTCTGTGCGTGGCCGTGGGGCAGAGCCGGCTGCGGGGGAGCTTCCCCCTCCGGGATGGGGTTTGGTGGGGTATGGATGGCCCCGGGGGGAGAGTGCTGTGTTTTAGGTGGGTGCTCAGCCTCTGGCTCCGAGTGATGCTAAAATACTCAGCAGGGAGATATAAAATGTATAAATTGGGTTCCGAACAAGGAAAGGCTGAGGCAGGGAAGGCACCGGGGCTGACGGTGTGAGGTTGGATATCCCTCTACGATGGCATCCAGCTGTAAAATGTCCCCCCTGGGCTGGTGGCAGCAGGCATGGGGGGCTGCGGGTGGTCCAGGGGGACAAGCATGGAGCAGCACTTTTTTGGGGGCTGCCCCAGCACATGTTACTGATGACACAGCTCTGTCCCTGGGGGTGATGATGGCATGTCGGGACGGGCAGCTCGGCCGCTGCTGATGGTCAGGACGTTGGGTCTGGCCAAAGGGAGAGGCGGGGAGGGACAGCAGGACAGCCCGGGGCTGCGAGGACACCGGTGGCATGTCTCAGCGGGAGCGGTGGCTTTCTGTCCCCTGAGCACGTGTCCCTACATGACGGGTTAATGGCTCTTCCTCTGCTGGGCAAACAAGGAGGAACTGATGAGCAGGAGGGATCTTTTTTTATTTGATTTCTCCCTGTCAATTGCCTCATCAGTATTCATTCACCGGCAACAGCGAGTGTGATTAGTGCCCGTAGCCTGTAATCACTGATAATCACGACGAGTGATTCATCAGCCCCAGAAATTAGTATTTCACTGGAAAAGACTTTGTAGGAAAGGAGCGGGGGAGCGGCTCTGTTCCTGACATGTCGCGGGGTGGGTCGCCACATCGGTAGGGCTTTTGCTGCGAGTACCAGCGTGCCAGGATTTGGGATATCGCCGCTGCTGGGTCATCTGGCTCCAGGCATCCCACTGGGCTCAGCCTTAACCCGAGGATCCCCCCGGGTGGAATTCAGACCCCCTCTGCGCTGGGGGTGCCTCCCTGCGCTCTCAGGGCTCCGTGCTGAGCATCCTCCTCTCCCGCTGCCTCCGTTGGCCCTTTTGGGATGGGGTCCCAGAGGACTGTTGGCGCTCAGATGGTTTAGCTACTGGGGTTTTTTTTGGTTTTTGTTTTTTTTTTTTTTTCCAAAAAGCCTGTGTTTTCCTGCTTTAAAGCAAAAATGAACCTTAGACGTGGGTGCCCCCCCTCCCACCCACCGCCTGACCATCTTGCAGCCCCCGGGCCGCTGTAGCGGTGCGTTTGGGTGGGCGGTGGGGTGGGTGGTTTAAGGCAAAACTGGGCTGTGGTTGTGGAGGCGTGCGAGGTCCTGGCAGCCCTGCCTGGATCCCAGCTGCCCCCACATCCATGGGCAGGGGCTGGATGTTGAGCCCTTGCCCGCGCAGAGCTTGCTCCGTGCTCGCTGGCGGCTCGGGCCGTGTGTGGATGCTGTGCAGACTGGGAATGTGTTTGCTGTACTTTCCCCCTCCGTCCCTAGCGCCGGCACAGGGAGAACTGGCTGCTACATCGTCTTGGACGTTATGTTGGACATGGCAGAGTGCGAGGGCGTCGTGGACATCTACAACTGCGTGAAGACCTTGTGCTCACGGAGGATCAACATGATACAGACAGAGGTGAGCGGGTGTCGGGAACCGCCGGGGGGCCCCGTGGGGCTGCTGTCCCCGGCAGGCTGCGGAGGCTCAGCCCTCGCCCCTTTCCTGCCCCTGAAAGGAGCAGTACGTCTTCATTCATGATGCCATCCTGGAAGCCTGCCTGTGCGGGGAGACCAGCATCCCCGCCAGCGAGTTCAAGCCCACCTACAAGGAGATGGTGAGGATAGAGCCGCAGAGCAACTCCTCGCAGCTGCGGGAGGAGTTCCAGGTGAGCGGCCCCAAAACGCCTGCATCCCCCCTGCAACACCCCCTTGCTCCTCACCCTCCTGGTGCCCACCACCGCTGGGACCAGCGGGCTCTGACGAGCGGCAGGCGGGGGTTTTGGCCCTGGTGCAGGCGGGAAGGGAGCTAAGGGGAGCACGTGTACTCGCAGACCCTGAACTCGGTGACTCCCCACCTGGACGTGGAGGAGTGCAGCATCGCCCTCCTGCCCCGCAACCGGGAGAGGAACCGCAGCCTGGACGTCCTGCAGACCGACCGATGCCTTCCCTTCCTCATCTCCGTGGACGGAGACAGCAACAACTACATCAACGCGGCCTTAACTGATGTGAGCGTGCTGCGGGGAGGGAAGGGGCTGGTTTGGGTTGTCTCGGGCAGCTTTTCACAGCAAAGCCTTGCTCAGTTTGAATTTATGGCCTTGTTTTGCGCAAGGGCACGAAGGCACGTGGCGGCTGTGTGCAGGGAGAGGAAGGTCTGGGGCGGTGTAGCGGGGTCCTTCAGCCCTTCTTTTGTGTAGCAGCGTCTTGCTTGTCTTGAAAGAGCTTTTCAGCTGCTCTCACAAGCTGCACACAAAGGCTCTTCATTTATTTCGTAGCAAAATGGAGCGCAGGAGGGAGAGGAAGTGCTGGGAGGTGTTGGTAGCACCGATCCCCTCCGTGTGCTGCCAGCACCCTGCCGTGCATCCTCCTGCCCGTCGTCCCGGTGCAATTCAGGGGGTTCTGAACTGCTCTTAAAGCTGCTGTGCATCCCCCCGGTGCAGTCAGAATGGCTGCTGGCAAAGCTATTTCCTACCTGCTGATGACCGCAAAGCAGAGCAGAGAGGACGCTGCGGGCTCCAAGCCTGCACCGAGCGATGGGTCATTTATCACCAAAACCACTCTCCTCTCCTTGGAACGAGCCGGGGTGCTTCACATGAGCAGCGCTGAGCCCCGCCGCACCCCGGGCACCTTCCCCAAACCCTCCTGGTCACAGCCGAACACCGGCACCGGGCTGAGCCCTGGTTTTTTCACTCCATGGGTGTTTTATCTTTGCTCAGATCTCGTCTCCCTGTTACCTGCTCTTGCAGCAAAAAGCAGTTTGTAAAGCGGAGGTGGCTGCTGGTGCCTGGGGAGCGGCACCCGTTGGGCTGCGGGCTTTGGCTACCGTGGGATGGGAGCTTTGTTTTCAGCTTGCTTGGTGTTTGCATATGCATTTTATTTTTGTACACCACTGAGCCTCCCTTAATCTCTGCTACAGGGTCAGAGAATAGAAATTTCTTTATGGACAGAAAAAGCCCTTTGGGTGAAATTCTCGCTGAAGGGATAAAACCCATTTCCCTCTTTGGTGGGGGAAGGGGCGGGAAAAGCTCATTTTCTTTAAGTGCCAAAGCAGTTTGCTCAGTCTGTCCGTCTGTCAGATGAGATTGGTCTGTGCTGCCCATCACCGGTGCAGAGTGCTGCGGTGGTGCCAGTGCCGGCGGCAGGCTGGTGGAGCTGCGCTCCGCTCTGCGCTGGCTGCCGGCGTTTACAGCGGGTGCCAAAGGACTGCGGGTGCCAAGGCAAGCCTGGTCAACACCTGATGAAATCTCCCTCACCCCACTGCTCTCATCGCCCTCCTCGAGGGCAGAAAGTGGGGGTCTCACTGCTGCCTCACGGACAGGGCAGGAGGAAAGGTTTGATAAGAGCATTTCCATGAGCTAAATGCAGCAGCCAGAGGACTCTCCATTAGCGGAGAGCTGTGCTAATTTGTGGGCACAGAACATTTTCTGCTGTGTTCCTGTATCTGAAGAGGCTTGAGCTAAAGTGTGTTAATTTAAAAGTCTGATTGATGCAGTGCTGAGCCCGGCCACAGGCCCCCCATCCCTCAGCAAGCCGGCATCAGGATGACCAAGGGGACAAACCTCGTTCAAAGCACGAACGAGAAGTACATAGAGGTCTTTCATTTCTTTCCTCTCTGAAAAGCCCATTGACCCTGTTGTCTCTTTGCTGCTCTCTGTGCCTGGAGGTGTTGGGTCACTGTGAGGGTGATGCCGTGGGTGATGCTTTCGCTTAGGACCAGGGTGCAGAGCTGAGGGTATGAGCCCTCTGGCAGCCACGGCTTATGCTTGGCTCCAAGGTGACATCTTTTCCCTAGTTATTTGTGCAAAACACCTTTCCCTGTGAGAGCCGAGAGGAGAAAGTGGGTGCTTTCGTCCCCACCAAGGGCAGGGATCACTTAGACCTGTTTTTATAGCATGTCCCCAGGGGATGGAGGGAGCGAGGCTGTGCCAGGGAGGCCAGCTCTGCTTGGCCATGGAGGAGATGGCTTTGGTGGCACTCGTCTTCTGGTTGCACTGGTTTCTCGGGGTGTGACAGCAGTGGATTCAGTGCTGCCACCATGTCCTTAATGGTGCTCGTCTTCCCTCTCTGCAGAGCTACACCAAGAGCGCTGCCTTCATCGTCACCCTGCACCCGCTGCAGAACACCACCACCGACTTCTGGCGGTTGGTGTACGACTACGGCTGCACCTCCATCGTCATGCTCAACCAGCTCAACCAGTCCAACTCCGCCTGGGTGAGTGCTGCCGCCCCAGGGACTGTGCCAGCCCCGCAGGTGGCCCTGTCCTGCTCCATCCCCACCGCCTTGCAAGTGCTGCAGCCCCTGCCTTGCTCGCCCGGCTCCCTCTCCTCTGCAAGGGGAGACGGGACTGGCTGCAGCACCCAGGATTTTATCCCCTGTAAGCACAGGGCTGGCCAGCTGGAGCCAAAGATACGTGGCAGCAGCAAACCAACCTGGCTTCCTTGCGTTGGCGTCATGTTGGCGTTGCTTTACTGTACCGTAACCTTTGTGGATGTCCCGGGGAGATACAAGGTTAACGACAAGTATAACCTTGTTATAAAGAACTGATTTTTATCCTCCTTTTACAAAGGGGAAACTGAGGCACAGGGGATTTCCCACATTCATCTTCCAAGGGCACTGGTGGCTTGTGAACACCGCTTTACAAACCAGCCTGTTGCAAAGCGGCTGTCGCATGGGTTTTATGGTGTGATGGGATGTGCCGATGTGCTGCACTGGAGGGGAAGTGTCCTGTCACCCGGGGAGGGGGGACAGAAGGCGGGGCGCAGGGGACCATGCTGAGCGCTCACCA